GCCAAATGCATCAACAAACAAATAGAAGGTTAAGTTATTAATTAGGAGTACTACTTTTTCTCAAATACCATCCCAAGGTTTTGCCAAATTTTGGTGGGGGGTTTCTCCACACATACACCCCTCCCCCGCCCCCATAAAGCCTGTAAGGTTTTACACTGAAACTTGCATCAGCTAAGCAGAAGAGATGTATCCTTTGGCAGGCTAAAATCATATCTACCATCAACTTTACTATGTTTCCACAGGAATACACTCTTCTGCTGACCTTAAAGCACATTACAGTGGATGGGCCATCCAAACAAAACAATCTGAAATATAAAGATTTTATTTAGGACCGTTCCTGGGGTTGGCAAAGCTCCAGTCTATTTGAAGGGTGTTCTGTCTGCCCACTGAGCCTAGATTTTTATTTCCTGTTGCAATTTTCATGTTATCAGAAGCATTGCTCCATTTTCACGTTTTTGTCATTGCTCCATTTTGGCATTAATCCCAATACATGCCAGTCAGAGAAAAATGTACTGGGCACTGCAGGTAGACTAGACCTTGATAAATTTTCCTCAAGTCTCACTGTAATGTACATTAAAAAAAAAAATCTAATGCATATCTAATTACTCTAATTCTAATTAATTTTCAAGTTCCACTAAGACAATTACATTTGTTACTGATGCAAGTTGTTAAGAGTCTAGTTAGAACCCTACCTTTCATCTGGGCATCACAATAGACTCAAAAGAAAATGTGAAGAACATTAAAAAGTAACTCTGTATTGAGAGTGTATGAAGATAAATGATATTCTATTGCCTTTTTTTTTTTTTTAAATGCAGTCAAATGGGGAGTATGAAAACCTAAACATTCAACTCTTAAACATTCAAATAAATCTGTGCTGCAAACAACCAGTGTGACAATTTTTGGCAACCATTTTGAGCCGCTCAGAACACTACTCTGCACGAAGTCTGAGTGTATGCAAGCATGGTTGTGGTTTTCAGTAGTTAACATCATTAAGGAGAAAAGGAGCAGTGCCTAGGTCTCTGTCTCTTAATAACTGTCATTAGCAAAGGTCCGTCAGCAACAAAGGAGCTCTTACGAAGCAGAATGACTTCCTGCAGACCAGGTGATGCCCCCTTACTCACAGCCTGGCTCAAGGGAGCTAAGCAAGAGGCCACTAGGTGATGAACTCTCATCATCTGAGCAAGAGTTTTGAGAACAAGTGAGAGAATCACACAACAGATGGATGTCAAGGCATGAAAGGATTGGCTGGCCATGTTCCTACTCACAACAGAGACAGAACTCTTTTGATATGCAGATGGTGAGACTAGAAGAAGGGAACCAAGAATGCAGGGGGATTCACACATGACAGTCATGAAAAGCTGAGGTGGACAGACAGATGTTTGCGTGCCTTATTTTGCATGGGACTATACATACTCCTCCTCCAGTCCAGAAGCAAAACGTGATTGGTTTAGAAAACCTGGAAAAATATGCATTTTAATGGCTTACACTAATTTATTTTAGTACAAGGGTTAAACTGGAAAGCAGAGTGTTCTGGGATATGGCTCCTTGGGAATTGGAAAAGTGGCCTCAGACAAACAGAAAGCATGCCCTAATTCTAATAAATGAGCAAAGAACCTCCCTGTCTGGCACCAAAAGCATTAATCCGGAAGGCAAAGAAACTGTGCCTGGAATGTACTTAGTCAAGAGGACTTAAGAGGTACAGACCTCAGCAAGCTGCCTAAACACAGTCTGATGGGTGTCCCACAAGGAGACATTGTACAAAGCTTTGGCAGAACCAGAAATACACCATACACAAATTGAAAACCTGACATTAATAATATACAATTTTATCATAACATACTTAAAATATGTATATGAGAGAAAAAACCCATAGAAAGTTAGTAACAGCATCCAGAGATAAATCTAAATGCATTAGGAGAATGTGTGCTAAATCTGGAAAACTGGGAAATTGAAGGAAGGCTCTCCATTTCCTCACAAGTCTGTATAGACACCACTGTAAAGACATTTCTGAGCACTGAGATGCTATATCGAGTTGAATCTTCTCTTTTAAAAGATGCATTGTAACAAGAGGCGTGCTTTAAAGGAGTTCAAACACCAAAATTTTCATTGGCTTATTGATGAGTTTTCTGCTTTTGGAAGAAGCAGAGACTAACTTTTTGGCTCGATTTTCTACAAATGTTCTATGTTTCAAATGCTGACCTGCATATTTGCTCTCTGTTAAATGTTAATGTAGATCTCTGCCTTGGAAGATGAAAACCAGCTTCCACAGAACAGGTATCTCCTCTAGGGTCTTGCCTTGAGAGACTAATTCAACAGGTCAGATTTTCCTCAGTGTCAATATCACCTCGTTGCAGGAATCTATCAGGAAACTATTTATGATCTGCAAAAGTTGACGTCACTCTTTTGGAGGAAGATAATCAGAAATAAGATAGTCTAAAGAAAAGAGTACAGCTCCCAGAAGGGCTTTAAATCCATACTCAAAGGATGTTTATACAATGTATTGCTTTCAAAAAAAAATTCAAGCCTCCCCAAGTCATTGATTCCAATTGCCATATCATAAAGGAACTTTTCACAATTTTCACATGTGCAGATAAACAAAATGTGTCTTCCAAGTAATTCACCTAATTAGAGTCTCAAGTTCTAACGTATAAGGTGAATCATCTCTAAAAACCAATTTATGCTGAGAATGCTTTTCATACAGCAAGAAACTGCTTCTGACATCAGAGAACTGGTTGACATATTCTAAATACATACTAGAAATAAAACTCAGGATTATTCAAGCACTGCTTTAGAGCTGAGCTGAAGAGCACAAAGAGATCATTATAGGAAGTCTGAACTATATATATCTATACTTTTTCAGTTCGTCTAAGCTCTTTCTGCACAGCAGAGAACTACAACATTAACTTTTGTAGAATTAAGCAAAAAAACTTATAGGGAGGGGAGGAAAAAAAGGAGACTAACCTGAAAATGCAGTCCTCTGAGATATTTCTAGCTCACTATCTGTTGTTCAGTAAGATATGCAGACAAGCAGCAGCTAAACCAAGATCCACCTCCACTACTTGTGCTATCTTATTAAAGCAAAAAATAAAAGACCTAAGAAGAGGAGCTAGGGAGGGGCAGGAGAGCACAGTCCACGCTCCATCTGAGGGATAAGTCACTGAGAAAGTGACAGGAACTCACAACAGACTGTGGTGTTTCTCCCTGGAAGAAATACTGACTGATAGTTAAAAAGAAAAAAAACACATCACCCCACACCACCCCCAAAACCAGAAAAAGGCCCCACCAAACCAAAACACCTCAGCAGCTCCTCAGTGGAATGCCAGCTCCTGCTTCCCCTGCAGGGATTTGTAAGTCGCACAGTCCAACCAATAAACCAGATTATAAAATTATTATCAGCAGTGTTAGTTAATTTATTCACTGAAAAATAACACAAGCTGTCTGTCAGCTCTCAAATAAAAAAAATGTTTATAACAGAGTTACAGGTGGGTGACTGAGGGCTGCACAGGATTGTGGGAAAAGCACTAACTTCAAGGGTCAGAACTAGCATTTTTATAAAATAGCCACAGATTTTTCTTCTGAAATTAAATTCTTCTGAGACTTTTTTTGTGGAGTCAGCGAAAACTGTTTTAAGTGCAGTTCATCAGCATCAACAAACCTGGCTGCCTGTTCTGCTGCCTGCATGGGTGAACTCAGGAGGAGAAGAGGTGTAATATGAAATGGTTGAATAACTAAAGTAGAAACAAGCACTAGCTCCAGCTCTCTGTGTTGCTGGAAAAGATACTCCTGTCACTCTTCTGCCTCCTCAGTGGGAGAAAAGGGTGCGTGTGTAGGTTTTTCCAAGGTAAAAGGCAGAGAAGGAGCAGGTGCCCTGGAGAATATAATCTCCTTCAGGTTCAAAGGCTGGCATTTAGAAACACAGCATCATATATCTGGGATCCCTATGATTTTAAGGCCCTGTGTCAAAGGGCACACACTTCATTCACAGATACTAGATGAAAGCTTAAATTTCAAGTGGGTGTTGATGAGAAACAAGTGGGAGCAATGAGTCTTTGGTGCGCACAGCAATATCTTACAGCATTGGAAAGAGACTCTGCTCTCGTCCTCAGTGTTCTCCACTAAAGGGAAAGATGAAGAACAAACAGCCACCTTTGTGACATTTGCTCAGCTGTTTTAGTCACCAATGTTCAAAATTAAACTATGAGGAATCAAGTTATTGCATTCACCTTTCTTGTCTGAGTAAAAAGGCCTTGGTCAGTGCTACACCACCACAGCTAAGGCTGCTTTTGGAACCTGGCCTGCAATGCAGACATAAAAGACTATCACCATCCAAGAAGCAGCCTTATTGTTACGTGTTTGCTTGAATTTGCTTTGTTTTTCTGGTGCTATCTTTAAATGATGTGGCTCCATTAGCCTCAAAACGGTGAGACAGTAAACCCCTGATACCCTCTGCAAATAGAAGCCTGGCAGCATATTCTTAACAGATGTTAAGAATTATAACAGGTTGCACTGCTATTTTCTCTGGTTATTTGCCACAGTAAGCTCAAAGCATCCCCACCAATAAACTGGCATTTAGAAAAGCACTCCAAAACACAGTCACAGCTGGATGATCTATTCACCAATATTCCTCCTTCTGCTCCCCGCCCATTAATGGGAATTGCTGCAAAATGATTAACTGCCTTACCACCATCTGCACTCAGGTTCCATTAGTAACCCAGGCATTTCAGGAGATCCCAGCTCTGTTCAAGCTAAGTCAAATCACTGCTTGCTGATTCATCAGTTCAGCTAAGCTAGCCTGGAAAATGCAACAGGTAACCAAACATGCTTGGAACAAATTAGCCTCTACAAAAAATAAGCACATCACACCTCAGGAACAAATCAACCCCTACATAAACAGGTACTTCATGTCCTATCCCACCAGTGTTAACTACTGATAAATAAAAGGAAAAGCTCAGGTCAGGTCACAGCTGCTTTACACGGGTTGCTGAACAATGGGCCTTTACCTTGCTTGCTGGCAGACACTGCAAATCCAAGCCTTCTCCTTCTTCTGATAAGAACTGCAGCTCTTGCAGATGTTGTACTTGCAGTCTTGGCACTGTCGCTTGCTGTTGATAAGAAACGTGAAAGGGGAGCAGCAGCGAATACAGCAGTGCTCGTTGAACTTCTGCTGCTTGGAAAGGATGCTGCACTTGTTACCCTCTTCATCCAACTTCTGCTTCATTTCACTGGAACAAAACCGAAAAGAACAAAATAATAAAATTTCAATGGATGGTCTCCCCTTTACCTTTCTCCTCTTTTTACATTTTCATGTTATACTCTTCAAATAAGTTTTGCAAGTGCGAAGTAAGTGTCAGAAATGCATATTCTAAATCCAGAATTGGGAAGCAAAAGCTCCTATATTCTCTGAAGAAACTCATGGCAAATCCATTCAAACTCTCCACATCATGAGCCAGGACAAACAATCTCCCGTCACTCAGCACCAGTGAGACAATCCGCAAGAGAGCCAGGCTGCTGCCCCAGGCACTCCAGCTGTGCAAAGCCATTGCATCATTTGAGAATCCAGGGCTGCTTTCAGAACACTTTACAAATAAAAAAAATCAGTCGGTTTTGAAAACAAAACTGCTAAGTTTGCTGTTCTGACCCATAGGGTCATATTATTCATAATAGCTCCAATTTGTCAAGGAAGGTTAATCACTTCTTTAATTTCAGAGAGATTTGGGTGTTTTACTAGTTAGGACCAATACCAAGCCAAGTACCAACTCTTTGTGAAAGTGTTTGCAGACAACCTGAAGTTATCTAAATTCCAGCAGAACAACTCATTTATTAAAAAAAATATAAAATAAAATAAATTGTCTTTGTGGTATTCAGTAATTTGCTATCTCCCATTTTACAGTGTTTTTGATATTTTACATATTAGGCAATATATTCCATGACAAAAAGTAAGAAAAAACATCCAGAAGGAACGCTTCTGTAAGTAGACAAGCCTGCAAACTCATACAGTTTCTGGTATGTACAACTAGGATATACATATATACATTAAGAGGTTAAAAAAAAAAAAGATTAATGAAAAACATGTCAAATAAAAGTTTATAGAACAGTATACATGTACATATATTCATTCCTTCCATTTCTCAGAATTAGTGGTGGCTACTTTGCTATTTCCAATTGCTGATAAGAACTACTTACAAGACCAGAGTAACGCAAAAGTCTAAACAAAATTTAAAGGTACCACATGAGATAGACTAAGTCGCAGGAAGAGAGAGTCATGACATGCTGACTTACACTTAAATTAATGCTTAAATGTCTTGCTACAGGAAAAAAACATTATACTTATTGCATACTTCTTCAGGAAATCAACCAAGATCACCTACAAGCATCATTATGAGCCAAGTCTGGAATGTTAAAAAGACTCACATTACTGGGCTATGCATCTTATTTGCTATTTCTGCCTCAGATTCATAACTCAAAATAAAACCAGCCTATTTTATGAAAGTTTGACAGGTCAATTCTAAACCTCAAGTCTAAAAGGCAATTAAGACAGTGATCTAAAGCATATAATTTTTGAACTTGCACATACATCATATTTAACCATATTCCAAATATACACCTTTTATAAATCATAAACTTCAAAACAATGTATGTTTCTGCTGTTTGTCCCCTGTACAAAGGTTTGGCTATCTTAGACCAGCTGCTCAAACTCAAGTAAATACTTTTTGAAGTTTCAAGTAAATAATCTTTCTTTATGATTTTTGTCCAGATGGCAAAACTTACTTGTTTTTCCACATTTTTACAGAATGTTAAAGGTAGAAAAGGTAAGAGATTACCATGTAAGAGAGGAAATGTCTGAATTATGCAAGTCAAACTGGCTTCCTCGTGTAAACTAACAGAACTATCCCACAGATTAAAGGGGATGGTTAGACTAGTTTGTCCTATCTCCATTACTCCCCTCCTACCATTGTACCACACAGACAGTCTTTCCAGGGGAACAGAACAGGAAGTAAGCTGTTCCCCACATCACTCCTCCATCCACAGCATACATCCTGCTCCGCAACAATGGAGTGAGACAGAGCAACGCTTCTGCACAGGAGGTCAGACGGGAGCCACAGTCCCAGTATAGAAGCTGATGAAAGTGAGGGCTATATGATCCAAGGAAGATTTCTGGCACAGAGAACTGTTAGCAGCTCAAGATGCCGGAATCTTTGCTTCAGGCTGGAGACCCCAGGCAGCAGATGCTGGCCTCCCCATAAGATGAGAAAAGCTAAGGAGTCAAGGTCAGGAGGAGCTTCAGTGAAAGAAGAGATTTTTGTCCTCACACAGCTCTATTATCTCCTAGAACTAGTAACACTGATATTTGGTAGTATCAGCCTATACACTCAACATTGGCATGCTCAATGGCATTTTGAACCCTCATTAGGGCTCTTATGCATGATAGCGAGACAAACCCCAGAAGCAGAGGCACCTATTAAAGCACTACAATAATGCTCGCACAATATAAAAGCAGTTTCATTCACGACAGAGCTAATAAAGCTTGATACCCAGAAAAAGCTGATCACACACTGAAGACTTTTCATCTGTACAGCCATTAATTACATCTCTCTCCTCTATGTAGCTGCCAACATTCATTACAGTGGTAGAACCTTAATATCATTAAGGCATCTGCCTCACTGTTAAACAGAACTAAAATTGGCCAACGAATTCAAAAAGTCAATAGCATAAGGTTGGACAGGCTGGCAGAGAGAGAGAGCATGACAGAAAAAGCTTCATTTCCGCAGGAAACCAGGCAGAACAGAAAAGACAGGAATACACATCCCTCTGATACCTGTAACTAAGGCCCTTGCGCTAACTGCTGAAGGCTATTCTAGTTTCTATCAGGAGTCAAATGGCAAAAGGGACAAGTCAACA